GGTGAAGGTGTATGTGAGGAGTTTTTGGCCAAAAACATCCTTTAACTATATCTAAAACTTAATGTACATCCTTCAACTAATATATTGAACAAAAATCATCCTTAATGTATTCAAAACTTAGCAAGTTTCGTCCTTCATGAAACTTCTGTTAAAAAACTTAACAGACCCATCTATGTGCAAGTCACATGACTCTTACACCCCAAATATCAAGTTCCTCAAACCCATCACAAGCCATTTTCTTTGTTCTGCTAAAATTTTTAAAGCTATTCCTTGCTGATTCTAAATGAACAATAAAAGAAAGGAAAAAAACAACAAAGTTAGGACGACTCTTCTTCTGCAGAATGGTTGGACTGCGATTATATTGATTTGGGTATTGATTTTAGGAAGAAAGAAAGGTGTGAGACTAAATAAAAATAAGGCGCAATGAGATTTGTTGATGTTCTGGTGGTCGGAAATTTTTAACAATAATTTAAGAATAAATTATTGGGTCTTGTGAAAATGAAGAGAGCAATAAGAACAGATTCATGTCGAAGAAAATAGTCTTAAAAGATAAGAAATACACGAAAAAGAAATAAATGAAAGGAATCTTTGAATTACATCCGTAAAAAAGTTACCACAAATAATTATGAAAAACAAAGCATGATAGCAACAAAAGAACAACCAATATTGACCTTCATTGTACAATTTTTATTAAGCCGGAGAATTCTAAATTCTTTCCTACGAACTCTGCCGGTAAAAAATTAACTCAGAAAAACTTCAGCTTTGAGAAGAACATAATACAACTAGTGGACATATTTTAGGATGCTTGTAGTCATGTGACTTGCACATGAGATTGGGTCCGTTAATGTTTTTAACAGAAGTTTCACAGAAGGATGAAACTTGCTAAGTTTTGAATATATTAAGGATGATTTTTGTTCAATATGATAGTTGAAGGATGTACATTAAGTTTTGAGCATAGATAAAGGATGTTTTTGGTCAAAAACTCTGTATGTGAGCGTCCCTTCGAGGACATCCGATAAAAAAAGTGTATGTGAGCCACTTTTATAACAAGAGGTATGTCTGACTTTTTTGCTTTACTCATTTTAAATTTTGTATCAAGTCAAAACGAGATTATTTACTCGACCCTGATGACACGTGATAAGCACGTGTTTAGATAATCCCAAAATTCTTTTCACATTCGAGATTATCATAAACAACGACTCAAACTAATATTCCTGGAAACTTCTTCAGGAACAAGTCAATCCAATCCAGGGAGTATAAATTCATCTTCTCCTTTTGGTTCAACAATTCTTCTCAACAATTCCTATTTACGCGCATTTGTATTGAATCTCCTTTTCCCAATTCAATCGGAAACCCTAAATCTCTGCGCAGCAGAATCAACGAGGACGAAGAAGAAGAAGGTTCTAGAAATATGAGGAGAGTTTTCGGTGCGAAGAAACAAACGGAACCTCCTCCTTCCATTCAAGATGCATCCGATCGGGTACGTACTTCTTATTACTCCAATGTAATGGTCAACTTTGCTTATTGTATAATATCTTTTAGAAATTTGTAGTTTGATTGCGTGTAATACAGCTGTTTTATCAATTATGAGAAAAAATGACTACGTACAATTTGACTAATTTTCGTTTGGAGCTAAATTGAATTAGATTAATTTGATATTTTAAATTTGAAAATTTTAGATGTTTGAAAACTATAAGGTAAGTTTTAGTATTTTTCTCATATTAATATGATGAAAAATTATAGTTGATCAAAGTCCATATATGAAACCTGACAAGTAAAAAGTGAACGGAGGGAGTATTGTGCAAGTTTTGAATTTTGAGGTATGGAGATTGGATTAATATATATTTGAATAAGACCAATTCACAATTGTATAGGTGAGATATATATGAAAAATTTTATGAGAAAAATTGGTAGGGGATTACAAGGTGGGGAATTAAACCCTCGCCAATCAATTGAGCTACTGAGATTGTTTATATACAAAAACTTAAAATATGGTGAGTTAGATTTCTATTGTTTTTTTAAGAAATTCTCTTTCCTAGATTATGGATCACTGGAGTGAGTTTTGTAGTGTTTAATGAAATGTTGGACTTTTATATCATTGTGATATTGCTAATTCTCTGCACGTGATATCTGATTTTAGTATTGGTTCTTATTTGTACAGATCAATAAAAGAGGTGACACCGTGGAGGAGAAAATCAAGAAGCTTGATGTTGAACTTGCAAGATATAAGGAACAGCTAAAGAAGACCCGGCCAGGTCCAGCTCAAGATGCTGTAAAATCTCGAGCAATGAGAGTTTTGAAGCAAAAAAGAATGTGAGTCTATCCTTTTTTAAGAGTACAGTGATGTTTAAAGTTTATGGTTGAGCATCAAATTGACTGCTTTGTGGATGAATGTCTAGTCACGTTATAGGTCAAATTACATTTAGCTTCTGAGATGATTGCGCTATTTAAAGACATCTAATCAGTGCTCCTTTTCTCTCTCTCTTGATTATAAAGAAATTTTGTTGCAGGCAAATAAAGTGCTGAAAGCACCAAACAAATACATCTGTGGAGATACCTTGATGAACCATATTATGAGGGAGACAACACTGTGTTTAATGGCTTTTTAAATAATGTTTAGTTCTTCATAGAGTTTGTGGTTACTTCATAAAAAAACGAAATTGGAAGAGCTTGTGATTGAATTGAGGATTGGTCCTTATAACAGTTCCTACTTGGAAATTGGGATACTCACGGAGTTGCAACCGGCTAAAAAAAAGGGATTTCTTGTAAAAATACTAGCCCTGTTGAGTTCATAATGAGAATATTTTCATCGATGAATCTTTTTTGATCCTATGTATTGTACTTAAAAGAGAAAAAAGAGAGGCTGACTTCTGAGGTTATAGGCGATTAATCTTAACTTCACTTAGATTGTACCTGAAGCCAAAGTAGATAGAACACACCCACTAATGTTGGTGAATATTTTGTTCTCCTTGCAACAATTCTCTAAGTTTTGCTTGTGTCTGTGGTGAAAATTATTTTCTCAAGCACTGCTTAGGCATAGTTTTCGCCAAATTGGGAAAAATTCTTGCTTGTTTGACAAGCTTATAGTTTATATGTTGATCTATTGTTTCCAATGCATAATCTCTTTTGTTCGAATATTCAACAGGTATGAAGGCCAACGTGACATGCTCTTCAATCAGACGTACAACCTAGATCAAGTTTCATTTGCAGCTGAGGGAATTAAAGATGCTCAGCAAACAGTATGTTCTATGGAGTTCATGCTTTTTTCAGATACCTAGTTTTCTCCCATTTCATTTATGAAATGCCTAATTCCAAAAGCTGTTATATGCATATGAAACATGTCCGTTGTTAGTTCTGATATTCCAAGTATCTGAAAGCGTCATTGGACCTTTTTGTGTTCGAAGTTCATAATACTTATTGGGTGTTAGCATGCAAAGGTTAGCGCTCTTCTTTTAGGGGGATAAAAGCATACAAGCATCATTTTCTTTACCAATCCTTGGTCGTTAATCTGAAACTGTTTTAACTTGAATTTGATAAAGAGAATTTTGGAGTGTCACTCACAAATCTGATTCACTGATACGTTTATCAAGTGAATGTTATTTGTGGAAATGAATGGCTGCTATTTTAGACTATTAAACTCATGGTCATCCTTTGTAATAACAAATTATTAGTTTTTTCGAGTCATTTGGGCTACATCAATTCATCGTGAAGTGTATCTGCTTCTACATAGCACCCCACAGGGCACAGTCAAGGCTTTTCAGACAAGCTAATTGTGTAACTTAATTCGAACCTGCTGCCTACCTCCCTACAGATGGGGAGGACAACCCATTTATCACAAAAACAGATTTCTTTATATGTCCAAGAGTTTATGTACTCCGTTAGATCCCATGTTGGAGATTTGTTATTTGAAGGCACAACTGAACCATTGGAATCATTCATATACAGTTGAATTTGCCACTAATAAGTTGGTTCTGTTTTTCCAGATGTCAGCTTTGAAGTCCGCAAACAAAGACTTGAAAGGAATGATGAAGACAGTGAAGATTCAAGATATAGATGTATGTCTCCTCATTGTTGTTATCTGTTTTAGTAAACCTTGTGCATTTATCCTTGTTCATTTCTGAATTTTTCACGGCTGCTAATTGTGATATTATTATGTGAAACGTAGAACCTACAAGATGAAATGATGGACTTGATGGATGTGAGCAACGAAATTCAAGAGTCTCTTGGTAGAAGCTACAGTGTGCCAGATGACATTGATGAAGATGAACTCCTCGGTGGTAAGCTTAAGTAGCAACACATTTAGACATAGAAGTAATAAAGCATATCAGATGAGCTCTTAACTTATTACTTTTACTGCAGAGCTTGATGCTCTGGAGGCCGACATGGATACTGAAGGTGAAGGAGTCCCTTCGTATCTTCAACCAGATAAAGAGCCCGATTTGGACGCAGAGCTTAGCCTACCATCAGCACCAACAGGGCATGGACCAATGCCAGCTGGCAACCAGGTAAAGTCAAATGCAGTATGGATAATGTTCTGTTGTAAGTTGTAACAATTGTGTTAAAATGCTGACTTTTTTTCATTTACTTGTGGTGCACAGGCTTATGATGAACTAGGATTACCTGCCGTTCCTCGCGCATCAATTCGCGGTTAAGGAATTAGTGGGATACTAATGATGACTTCATTTGGGATTATTCTTTGTTTATTGGGGAAACCTGGTGTAAACAGTAGTGTGCAGAGTATATCTTCATTGTTGTTTCCAAATGACCCATGTTGATTTATTGTGTAGTAATGGACATAATGCTTGAATTGTATTGTGCACATTCGGTATATCTTATCCTACACCAACACATCTTGCAATCAATAGAAAATCATTAACTTGCATATCAATATGGCATGGCCTATAGTTCACGAGTTCGAGTCAAGAAGTAGTCACTAATACTTGTCTATGTCATACCTCTTGAGGTGTGGCTGTCCCCAAATACTACGTGTTTGAAGAATGTTTTGTGCACTGAACTGCTCTTTTTGTTAATATCGTCAAGTCATCAAATTTTTAAACAGTTAATGTCTTGATCCTAAAAATTACCATTTGGAACAAACTACATTCTAAAGAGGCTTTACAAGCTGAGTCTGAAGGAGTTTCACCTACATTTCTACTGCTCGAATAATAATTCAAGAGCCAATACGTGCAACAAACCCTGACTTGTAGATGGGATGCATTTATTAGATAAAAGGATGGCGCAAGCTCCTGCAGGATATTTATCATGAAGAAAAGGTGTCCAACGAGATCGACTTCCTTCTAGTTGAGATCCAGTTTTCCAAAGTCCAGCATCTGCCAAGCTGCATCCGAACCAGTCATCTCAGTAGCAGAACTCAGCCTGAAGTTGGTGCTCAGCTTACCATTGCGAGAACGCGCTAAACATTTCAGTCTTTCCAATTCTTTCCTCAATGACCTGTATTGAGCTGCATCAAGTTTCAGAACGACAAAGAATCAGACTATGAAAACATCACTTTGCTTCGCCACACTGTTAAACTACTACATCATCAAGGATGTCTGCTGCCAACCCTCAACCAAGGAAAAGTTTTGAGTGCACGAATGACACTAAAGTGAAAGGAATAGCACTGGTAGATCAACCAACTATGAAGCTAAATAAAAATAGACGAATACAATGAAAGTAGCTCAGAATTGCAATGGAATATTTTACTTTCGGCAGCTACAACTTGCTCCATTCATAGTATTGGATATGATTTTTTCACAATCCAATGCTGGAGCAAGCAGATAAAGAGAAGTTGGAATTTTAAGACTTTTGATGGTTTGCCAACTCATGAACAATTGAGGCAAATAGGTAAGAAGACAAGACAAATCCAAAGAAGAGTAACTAACTACCATAGTTAAGTTGTTCCCAAAAGAGGGGAAAAGAGAGAGAGACACCAGCAGTTATGAGTAGCTAATTGAACTTGTTGACGTATAAAGTATTATGGATTTGATTGATTGAGCTAAAGATAGACAACTCACCGTCAACAATGACTTTTTCTTGCTGAAGTCTGAGCATCTGTTGCTTTAGCTCTCTATTCTCCATTGATAAAGTAGCACGTTGCTGAAGCAGAGAAGCAACTTTGGCAGTTAAATCTGACTCTATAGCCTGTATTGAAAACGAACAAGGTTAAGCACCATATTAACCTTGGTCTGCAACACCAATTATTGTGTTGCTTGCAAGAGCACAACTGTCCATTTAAAAGTATTTTGTATAGCATTCGGGATACCAAAGATTGTAGCAATTTGAACAGTCTCAAACTATTTGATAAAACATTTGGGTCACCAATTTGTGTTTTGAACAGTAATTCTTCACCGACAGCAACAGTATTAACTTTAGGATTTTAAAAGTCTCAAAACTTGTGAACCAGCACAATATTTTATTCATAGCATGGCTTTCCCTCAAGTTAATCTCAATGTGATTAATCAACAATTGACATGTAGCCATGGAAACTTCATTTTTGTCTCTGCAATTCTTTAATGTTTAATCTGTGGTGTTACATGGGAAGCTCAACATGTATATTCATAATAATTTATTCAGTAAAAGAAACCTTCTTTAAAAGTCACATTGATGTAACAGTAATAGCAGCAAAGTACCTCATATGTGTTGACAGTTCTCTCTAGTTCAGCTATATATTGGAGTTTACGAACTCTCGACCTCTGTCCAGGATGCCTGTACAAATTCCAAATAGTTATCAAGTGTTGTACTCTTCTCGAGAAAATAATCGTCTCAGAATGAAATAAATCCTCCGGATATGTGAGACTTGAAAATAATTTGGAACAAGAGCACACTCTTAAGGCCTAAGTGTGTTTGCAATGTATTTGTATAAGAGTTTATAGTATATTTAAATAAAAATTGGAAATAGTTTCAAAAGAAAAATAGTGGCGACAACTTCTAAGTAAAGTTTGACAGAAAAGAATAGGAATAATCGCTAGAATAAAGATAATATAACATCATAGCAATATCATCTGTTTATCTTTTGAAATGGGAACTCATCTGTTATCTACCAGTATGTTGGGATACAATTGGTCATGAATTTCGTAAGATGCTGCTTTTCACAAATCCTGGCATACCCCAGAAAACTGCACTGTTAACTCTATCCTTAGTAGTAATTAGGAAAATGGGCAATTTGGGCTTAAAGAATGACAGGTGACTGGATAGTTCTCAATGGGTTTGGTACTTTATTTGTAGCATAGATGATCTAATTACTAAAAGTTAAACTTTGCAAGTAATTCACAAACTTGATCAACCAATTAACAAGAATTGAGCAAAGACACATCAGTCACGTGCTGAAAGGAACTGCGAGAGACATTGATGCAAAACTTTTCAGCATTTTCATTCCACTGAGAAGAGTTTGTCAGGACTGTTCTTGAAAATTGAACACCAGGACAAACCTTCTTTTCAGCTATGTTGCACGGACTCTCCAAAAACGTTGCCGTACCCGTGTCAGATACTCCAAAAATGTAATACTTTTGGAGTATCCTACACACACCCATGAATATTTATGATGAGTCTGAGCAACGGTGCTTTTCAGAATCTAAAACAGTCATCAATTTCCAGTAATGCAAGAAATTTAACTATTAGATGGTCGTTAAAAGGTCATAGCTAGAAGCTTCCTAGACCACATGTCTAAACGACTAAGAACCATTTCAGCAATTTGAGGAGCAAAGTGAAAATTCTCTTAGGATTTAGAAGAAACAACAAGGCATCACATTTTTATAGGACGGTAACATCCAGGAACCACTTGGCTCACAAACCTAACATTTGCAAATTGAGATTTTATACCTAGTTTCATGAAACTCGAAGGCAACATTCTCTATCAAATAAGCAATATTTTTTTGAAACTGGTAGCTGTATCAACACCTCATGATGTACAAAACAGTACACGGGTGGTACTGAAACCATATGTACAAAGATACCCTGAATTCTACTGTCCTACTTCTATAATGAATCTGAAACATCACTAATAGCAATATTAATAAAAGAAATCTTTTGGGTTTTCTGAATTTCCCTTTTCATTTGATAAAAGAAATCTCTAAAACATCACATTTGATTTTATAGATTGGATGAGCCCTATAAGTGCATAATTACAAGTCAAAGATCCTTTTACGGGAGAATGTCAGTTGACCATATAGAGCAAGTTACACAAGGGTCACTAACACACACTCTGTGTGTTGTTGTCTTCTCTAGAAATCAGAAACTACTCCTTATATGAGCTAAGTCAATGAGTACATATAGTTCCCAAACTGATATGATATCTTTATAAGTTCCCAATTCATGCTAATGGCAGTTCTTTTCACCTATACAATTAGCAAGCTAGAGTTCGCATTAAAAGATAATGCCAAGAGATCTGGACGCCATACGACAGGAATAGACTAGAAAATTAACCATTATCTTGGGAGATAAGATGCATGCCCCTGTATATTCAGGAAACATTTTCGCAATGATGTTGCTCTACCATGGAATATGGACACAATTAACAAGTGAAAAACAGATGCTGATAATACGTTGCCAACTAATGATGAATAATATTGGAAATAAACAGAGTTTGGAATCTAACCGTTTCATTGGCTTTGCCTCAGCACTGACATCATCTGCTGCACCAGAAGCATTTCCCACTAACTCCAATTGTGCAGCTCCAGACACAGAAACACACCTATCTAAATATTGTAAAGGGTTTGGAGACACATATTCTGATAATGCTGAAACTATAGCATTCTCTGCAAAGGTTATATTGCTCTTTCCACGAGGCGAATTAGGACCATAGATACAATTAGTCTTTGAACTACTATCCGATTCACAAGACGCATTGGATTCAGTTTCGTCAAACTTATCAAAGCCTTCAAATGAAACAAGACCATCCAAAACTGTCAAAGAATCACTAGCTGATCTCCTATGCATTATGCCACTAGAATTTGATCCCGAATCACTAAGCAGCTCATCAAGCCATGCAGGCTGCTCTTCTAAGATGGAGCTTTGGGAAATAGATTTTTGATGTCGAGGAGGCAACGAGTTATGTTGGTGTGATGGTGGGCTAAAAGGATCTTGAACAGGGCAAGTTAACGGTTTCTTCTGAAATGGGCAACGAGGCGGAAGATGAGCTTGCCTCGACATGATGAACTTAACTACTAGGTGACCCTATGATTTTCTTTTTGACACCTTCACAACAGAATCTAATAAAACAGGTCTTTCTCCCATGTTTCTGCCACCATCTTATTACCTAGTTTCTACAAAAAGTTTACAGAGCATGAAAATCAGAAATTACATTTTCTTCCATCAATCAAAAAATCCAAGAATTTTATTCTGAAGATTAAAACCAAGCAAAAGTATAAAATTTTCCTGTTAGGACTTGAAGTTTTGGCAAGAAAATCAATAGCTGGAAACACATATAATAGCTTGTGATATTTGAGAATCTGAATTTGTTCCATTTTTTTTCACAATACAGAAATTACTGCTCAAACAATGAGCCTATTTTTTTCAAAGCTAAAACATGAGTCAAATACAGCAAAAGAGAAACATCCATTAAATCCTCCATCAAATAGCAAACCAACAACATACCCAATGTGGGGTCTCGAGAGGCTAGAGTATACACAGATCTTACCCCTACTTTAGGAGGTAGAGAGATTGTTCTGATACACCCTCAGCTCAAATAAAAACATATCGAAAAAAAAATAACGAAAGCCAAGAAATCTTCGTAATATACTAAGAAAGCATGACAAAGCATTCCGAAAACAAAAAAGAACAGTAACACTAAACACAAACAGCAAACCAGCAAACCAAAAATACAAATATGCAGAAAAGGAGGAATTATGCAATTACAACAAAAAATTACGAAGCAAAACAAGACAAACACAACAATCTACATTCCCCATTGATTAAACACCATAAAGAATTTTCAAAACACCCAAACTAAAAAACACAACAATGACATGAAATTGAATTCTCTTCAACTTAACAACAAACACTAAAACCCTCAAGATTCTCCTTCAACACTTATTCAACAAAAACCCCACATACAAATTGTTACAAAAAAATAAAAAAAACCACATAAAATTTGTATCTTTTTCTTGAATTCTTGAAAGATATTTTCTGGGGAGGCATACCTTACTTCTTTCTTGGTGGGGTGTTTTTTTTTTTTGGTTTCTCGATGAGAGTGAGAGGAAAAAGAGAAGAGCTTTGAATGTTTATGCAAAATGCAAAATTACAAATGCCAATGTTATTAGTAGTAGCAGCTTGTCTCTCACTGTGCAAGTTGATGGGATGACCCTTTTTTGGACTGATTTTAGATACGGATACAATAACACAGTGACACCATTACTGCTCAAATTTCCCAATTTACTAAATGGACAAGGTACGGATTTTGTTCGTCTCAAAATAAGTGTTATTTAAGTAAAAATTGTTCTTATCGAGAATAGAATAGATATAACATTTAGTTTATCAAATTATTTATATTTGAAAAATATATGTTGAAAATGGAAGATGTTTTAAAAAAGAGTACAGTTTTATAAAGTTATATATTGATTTTTATCTTGAATTTCGAAAGTGATACTTATTTTGAGTGAGGGAAAAAGTTTTTGGTAAAATGGACACTAGGGAGTACTATTTGGTAGCTTTGAGTTGTTAACAGCTCATCTTCACTTTTTCTATGTTAGCTTAGAAATTTTCACTTTGCTTCTTTTTGTCATTTGCCTTTTTCTTTTTTTTTTAAGGGGGAATTTTAATATAAAATATTACACCCAATATAATTCAATATATATAATATTATATTTGAAAGGAAAATATTATATATAATGTATATAGTATATAAAATATATTTATACACAAATATGGATCAAATTAGCTATGAAAATGAATATTTTTTTTATCATTTTTATTATCAAATAGGTTTTTCCTTCGTACACTTTACTTATCTCGATCTAGCAAAGAATAATATAGAAAGGTAAATTTTTTTCGTATTTAATCAAAAAAACTCCTTCAAGATGATAATCGTGGATTGGTTGTTGATTTTGATTCGAAAATCTTACGTGACGGAACAAACTTTTTTATCGTGTTGCATTTTTATTGAATGATTCTCATCAATATAAAATTATTGATATTGTCATAATCCTAAGGTTCATGTCTCCCGAATGACTATTGTACGACCACTTATTTAATATAAAATCAACTAATAAATTTTACATTAACTTCCTCAATCATAGATTATAGTATGATTGTTCAAATTTAAATATTGAATCTATTTTTAATAAAAAAAAAAAAGGCTAAAGGCCCATTCTTAAGTTAAGTCTTTTATTTTGCAAAGATAACCAAAAACATTGTATGTATATATGATGTATTATTATATTTCACGAAGGAAGCAAATTTAAGACATATATAAATTAAATATCATGGAAGATTCTTAAAATTATGCTTAGATATTTATTTTTTATAAAAGAAAAGATTGATGACCCTTAGCCTAAAGTATTTGCATTTAGTGGTGTGAGAGACTTTAGATGATTAAAATGGACCACACATGACACAACTACAATAATTTATTAAAAATCTGCATGCCCACTAATTTTTGGTTTAGTTAACCAAGTTGATTTTGATTAGTAATAAATCATATGTTGTTTCCCCACATAGTGATGTTAACCTCAATTATATCTCTTCCTTATTGCTTAAACTAGATATGAGACCCCGTGCCAGCACAGGGCCCAATATATGTTACTGTTTCTGTTTTAATTTATGTGGTACATATGAAATTTGAAGTTAATCAATTTTTTAGTATGTTTTTATATATTTTAAGTTGCTAATTAATTGTATTTAGAGTATGTTTTACGTAAATATATTAGAAATCACAATAATTAACAAGTTAATATAAAAACTTAATAAAAATTACATTGACTTTTGAAATTTCATTTGTATCACATAAATCAGGACCGAGTAATATATATGAAAATTACATAAAACGTACTATAACTCACAATAATTAGCAACTTAAAATACTATATATCTATATTTCTCCAATTTATGCGGTATAGATGAAATTTTGAAAGTTAACAAAAACTGTTTATATGTTTTGAAATATTTTAAGCTATTAATTATTATGATTTATAATACTTTTTACATAAAAAAAATTATTTATATAAAGTATAAAAGAAAAAATTTAGAAAAAGGAAACATAAATGTCAGCAGGAGTCCAATCTATGTTAATTTCTATGTTTTAATTATTGTAATACCGATTGAATTTGGAGAGCCAACTAAAAAATTTTAAAGGTTTTTTTTTATAAATTTTAAGTTGTTAATTATTATAATTTATAATATTTTTATTAATTTTAAACCAATATATGTTTTTCTCTGTCTCAATTACATGAGACATATGGAATTCAGAGAGTCAACTAAAATTTTAAAATATGTTGAGTTGTTAATTATTATACCTTATAGTACTATTACGTGATTTTCAAATAAAATATGTATTTTTTAATTTCAATTTATATGTCATTGATATAATTACATATATTAAGTAATGAAGAATTAATGTGTAAATTATGTGACACCTATGAATTTTGGAGTGTAAATCAAATTAGTTATATGATTTAAAAAAAAAAAAAGCGGTTAATTATTATAATTTATAATACTTTTTATATATTTTTTAAATGATATATATATATATATATATAT